TAGTAATATATGTATTTATAATATTATTTTATAATAATAATTATTTTTAGTAGATATAAAGTATATATATATATATATATATATATATATATAGTTTGTATTTATTATGCATAAAATTAATTTATTGATCCTGGCATCATGATGGGTCCTCAAAGGGCTGGGGTCCCCGGTGTATTGCACTGCCCGCATCCTCAGTAGTTTTGCCCCTGCATGTTGTGCATTTCTAATGGAGTAAGTATAACTTCTTGGTGCTTTTAGGTAGCAAGATGTTTCTAGAGGATGTTGAACAGTTGGGTGTGATACAGCTTAATTATCAGAGTGGTGATTAATGCTTATTACAGATACATTAGGAAAAAGTGACTTTAGGTGGATTGTAAAACAGGTAAGGTTTATGTACAGGTCAAACATTGAATGTATAATTGGTGAGTCCAACAGTCTTAACCAAAAGGAAAGAGAAAATTCAGAGACAAGACAGACAATTTTTGAAAAAAAGGAGTGTAAAGTTATGTGTTAAGTACTTTGTTAGTTCCATCTGCATACAGTGTTAGATTGACATATGAAAATATTTTGTAGAGTGATAATGTAATTGTCAACTTAACCTCTTTAAAAATATTAAATCATTGTTTGTCATATATGTGTGTTATTGTATTTTTAAATCAACAGAGCCTCCCTCACATTTGTGCTTCTGCATCATTCAGTTTGCCTGACTTGTATACAAAAAATATATACACACACACACACACACACACACACACATGCATTATATGTGCTGTTATAGTCTTCTGTTTGGAACTGTTTTTTTAAACACTTAATTTATTTCCTACTTTAAAAGTACATTCTTCTATTGTTTCTCTTTTTTTAGGTGATTATAAGTTTGTTGCTAGAGAACCTATTCCATATAAAGAATTAGGATACCCAACTTTAGAAAGTCTCTTAACTGATATGCCAGATGTTGTGAAATTTGTTAAGTGAGTATCTCCATTGATTGCTCTGTTTAAAATTCTGTGTGGAAGAATACTGATATTTTGAATAAGTAATACTAGGGACTATAAATTGAAAATTAATTTGTTTACTATTTTAATAATGGGTTTATTTATACACTAGTGTATGTGATTTAAGGCATATGAAAGACAAAGTTTGTCATTGTTTTCAGTAGCATTTAAAATGAAATATAGCAAAACAATACATAGAAAAATATATAAAAGGAATTAGAGGTGGCCATTAATTAACTCTAAGTGATTACCTATGAGTATTAGTTAGTGTCATGTTAACTAATTTATTAATTATAATTACTGTTCAACCTATTAATCTCACAAGAATAATCAACTAATTGAAATTTGTCTTTCCAAGTATCACTGAATCTCATGAGAATAATCGATTAGGTGAATGTAATTTAAAATAAGCTTAGCAATTAATATCAAATTCCATTAATTGCCCAGCTCTAGAAAGAATTTTGTATTTCTTATGAACTTTGTTATTTCATAATAGTACTGATACATTTTAATTTAATTACTAAATAATTGTTAGTAATGTTGAATGCTTTAATCGGGTTAATTTGACTTTCACGACACAGTTCCCTGTGTTTCTTTTAAGTTGTTTCCACTCATCCTAATTTGTATTGCTTTTTAAATATATATTTCTAAAAATGTTACATAATATAAAAAGTAATCACATACATTGTCCAAAGTAATTGGTATCCTGTGATAAAATTGCAAAACTTTTGTTCAGTTACTATTATACTAGGTTATCATCACAGCATGAGGAATTTTTTGTCATACTATGTTCAGTTAAAACCACCAAACCACTCAAGGATTATAACATTCAGTTTGAATGCTGTATTTAAATATAAATAAAAATCAATGGAAACATACATGTTTCATGCACTTTACAGAACTATAAATCTTGAAACTTGTATTTTATAACATAGAAAAGAATTGTTTAAATCATAAAAAAAGATTTTGACATAGATTTCTGTGTTCCAAGTGTAGTGATCAGTCTTCATTACCTGAGCCTCAATTATAAAATTTCTTCTTGTAACTTTCATTACTTTTGTTCTTGTGGATCAAAATTTTGACTCGAATAAGTTAGTGTTAATATGTTAGTGTTTCTCTTTTACAATAAATGTAATTCTTAAGTATATAAAGTTATATTTTAACATTGATGCAAACAATATTGAATCACTTATTATAGTTAAGTTGCAGCTTGTTTCAACAATGGACTAAAGTATTTCTTAAAATATATAGTTTTAATTGTTAAAAAATATGAATTTTTTTTATATTTTGTGTGTGTTTTGTTAAGGTTTCTAGATTTAAAAATAGTTGTAGAATAGTAATAACTTACTTAACTATGAATACAAAAATGATTTTTTGTCATCTATGGTTTGAAAATAAAAAAAAATATATATATATATATTTTTAGGACACCTTCAGGTGACTGCATGTTCCAGGCTGTTTCAGTTGCCTCTACAAATCACATTGAAAATCTTGTGGCTCGTCAAAAATCTTCAAAAACTAAAAGCTTGAACAAACCACAGGTTTTATTGTTTTATATTCATGAATTAAGGTTTTCTTAAACAACCACAGCTTAACCTCCCCACTAAATGTAGGTCAAAGTGTGCATGTCACAACATTTTACAGTGTTGCATTCAAAATCTAATTAAACTAATTTATTATTAACGTATATGAATAAACATGGCATCAAAACTTAGTATGTAAATCAAATTTTGATATTATATAATATAAATTGTAATTCTTAATTTTGTAAGGAAATATTTGAATAAATTCTCAATCTCTTCTAGTATGAGAATTATGAGATTTGTTCTGTAAGTCTATCCCATTCTCTAATTAAGACACAGTAGTGTGTCATGCAGCCAAAACAAACTGCAGGACACACTGTATGTCATTAACAGAAGTGATAGTTTATCAATTTTCTTGTTTCTGTAGCTTGGACTGTGTTAATATAAACTATTGCATATTTTCAGTAGATATGTTCTACTGGATCCTTACTTCATGTACCAAATTTCAAGGCAATCCATTAAGAAATACACAAGGTATAAAAATCTCTAATTGGTATTGAATTTTTCCTTTGCACCAAAAGTATGGAAACTTCATTAACTTTCATGGATTTTTTTTCAAATTTGGTACACTGATAGATCTTTACAACCTACAGTTAGATGTTACATTTGGTCTGAATATAAGCCACATGTATGAAGTTATTCAACAAAAACCACATAATTTTGATTAGCAGTTTCTAGCTCAAGTTTTCAAAAGAATTGTATGGGTGGGTGGTTATTTTTTGCTGAATTTTATGAAATTCTCCTAATTAAAGAGCATTTAGCTTAATGTGATACTAGTTTAAGCAATTAGCATAAATAATGATGCTTTATATGGCTGTATCAAGTGCATGCAGGTGATGATGAGAAACTGTTGATTTAGTTTCCATAGTGTTAATATAAAGGAAGTTATTAACATTGTTTTAGAGAGGAAAGTCAACTTCCAAATATTTTAAAGAATCTGATTGGTTTTGTAAAGTATAGGTCTATTCCAAATAATAGGTTTGCAATCCTAAAGCTAATGTTGGTTACTATCGAGTGCCACTTTCTTACTTGCTGTGGTTTGTTGGTGTGTATTCACAAAAAAGTTGTGATATCTAACCAAAAACACCTTAGGTGTGGCCAAAAAAGTCACTAAAACCTTGTGACATGAGCAGTAAAGGATGCATGTGGCAATAGGGTTAAAGGAGTGAAACCAATATTGTCAGACAAACTTGTAGCATTTATAAGAATTTTACAGGAAGTATTCATTTATTTATTTTGTTTTACCCACTATCATGTTCCACATTGAACAAAAAATGTGGCTGGTAACTAATGAATGAATTTTTGCTATAAAATTTGTATCAATGCTATAAGTGTAGCTACCAGTTTGGCCACCAATTTTGTTTTCATTACTTTAAATTGCACGTTCGATCTTTTTTAGTTGCACTTCTGTGAAGTAAAGACTTAATGTAAATTACTTATTATAATGTAGATATTACTAAGGCAATGTCTAAATTTTATACCCTTCAAGATTTGTTTACACAGTCATAAGCTAGAGAATCAGACCCACTTTTTTATACCAACCTATTACATACTTTCTTTCACAAATTGCCAATAATTCTCACTGATGTCTTTTATTATATCATTTATAACCAATAGAAAGGTCAGGCTTTAATTTATTGAGTGGTGTATAATGATACATTGTTTTCAGTGCAGAATATTATCAGTCTTGTTTTCAGTTTGAAAGTTTTTCTTACTGTTCAGATCAAGGAGCTGAGGGAATTACTTTAAACCCCCTCTTGTCTTACTTAGAAAGACGGTTAAATTATATTAGTTAAAGGATATTGTTTGCTTTGTGTGTGTTGTTATTTTTTGTTCTTAGGTGCATTATTTAAATAAATAAGTAGGCTTAAACTTGATCAGCAACTGACAGAAAAAAAGAGGGCCACAGTAAGTACTATATTTCTTGTTTTTAATTTATTGCTATAAAAGTAACTAAAATGTAAAAATTAGAAATTAAGAAAAAGGATTCTATTTTCAGTTACATTTTGCAGTCGTTCTAGAAAGAAAAACAGGGTAACTTAGATTTATTTCTTATTTTAATATTGTGGTTAAAAGTTCAGTCAAATTGACTGTCTTTATAGCTAGGGTAGAGAAAATAACAGATAAAATAGAAAGTTTTACTGAATAAAAATATTTATTTAGGAGCTTTTAAAGTTAGCAACTAAAATCTGAGAATGTTCAGATGAAGAAAACTATTTTTAATCTTAACATGAAAATCTCTTTGCACTTGGAGCAGTTAACACTTTTACTCCATATATTAATGGACAAATCTTTAGTAAAAAATACTTAATTTCAAATACTGATTTTTTGTGTACAAAAGACTTGTAATGTTTACTGAAAGCTTCTCATATTTTGTGAAGATACACATACTATTTATAATTATGTTATGGAAACTGATAATTACCTTGTGGTTACAAGGTTGGTCACATCAACTGACCCTGTATGGAAAGGGTTAAGGTACTTTTGGTATATTTTCAATTTTTAAGAACTAGATAATACGTGATTAAGAGTGTGGCTGTGGAAGAACTTGTATCTTCCTATGAGAAATAACGCTGAATCGTTAAAGATACGTACACAAATTATTTTTCTATTCCTTACTTTACACTTTCCATTCTTATTTTTAAAGCCCAATTGACTGATGACAAGTGATGCACATGATACAGATGACTAAATGATACTGTTGATTCCTTTTTATCTATTAAAGCCAATTTTCCTGGTGATGAGTCATGCACACAATGTAAATGACTAAATGATAAAACTGTAGATTCATTCAAGTGGCATGCTGACTAGATGAACCTAAGGTTTGTTTCAAATTAATGTATTGCAGAGGCAACCTACAGGTATCTTGACAGTCTATTCTATTGTGTGATCTGCCAGAGTGAAATATCCATCACATGAGCTAATACATGTTATTGGAGTCAGGACTAATAAATATGTAACTTTTTCTGTAATTTTAGAAATGATAAACACAGAAAATATACCTTTAACATACAGATAAACATACTTGTGGCTGCCATCATGAAAATTATAACATTGTTAGGGTATAACATGTCATAAATGATCTATCATATCTGTCACTATATTTGTGCAAGTTTGACCTTAGTCTGTTATTGGCCATTTTATGACACCTATCCTTTTGTACATTTTGATTGAATTTGAGTACTTCTAATAAATTGGAAAAAGCTATTACATTGATCATGTTTACTGTAAATTTAAGACATTTTCATAATTTGAGAAATACTGCTTAAAGCTTTAATATAAATAATTAGATTTGTTGAGCAGCAGGTGAATATCAAAGTGTAAAATGACAACTCAGAATGATGCTTGTCCTGCAGAGTGGAACATTCTGTAAATTTAGTTAATTTGTGTTTTATATATATATATACACACTGAAAAATGTTTATTCACATTTTCCCCTGTCTTTCTGTACAGTCCTAAACTTCAATGATTAATTTTTGATTGGTGATAAATACAAAATGACTGAATGATATAGTAATTTTAGTATTATGGTGTATATGTACAGGATAATTAGTAGATTTTTATTATTTTTGATAATTTTATTAAAAATGTGAAATGAATAAAATCAATAATTGATTAATCTAAATTGGTCACCAATAAACTTTTGTGTGTGTGAGTTTGTATTTATATAAATCTATGTTTAAAACGTCTTCCTATCCACATTTTTGTCGTGAGACATTATTTTATATCCAGTTTTCATTATTTTACAGAGACCTTTTCGCAGGCCTGCACCTAGTACAAGTAGATGGACACCTCCAAACAAAAATTATTTGTCTCGTGGTCCACCACCAAGTAGTAGAAAGCCGCTTGGTCATTCTCCTGTCAAGCCACATTTCACTGTAAACAATAATGCTGATGGGTTAGGTAATAAACCTAATAGACATAAAAAGGTAAAATCTCATCTGTTGGCCTCTACCAATATTTAAGATTGATTAGGATAAAATATATTTCAGATACATAGATTTTATGAGTAAAATATTTTTGTTTTAGTTATGTAAGAAGGTTTTATACTACTTAAACTTATCAAATTTTATAATTAAATCAAACAAATTAATTATTTCAGACATGTAATTTATTATAATTCCTTTTTTTAGTCTTCACACCAAAAATTTAAAACTCCTGTGAACAAGTATCCTAGGTCTGTTGAATTACCACCACGTTTTCAGAAGCATTTTTCACAGATATTAACAGAATCTGTACCTTCACCACTTCAACCACAGGAAGAATTATGGCAAGTAAAACCTCATCAGACTTCAAAACTTGTAACTAATTCAAGTGAGTTATATTTATTAATTTTCTTAGTGCTTATTTACATGACATTAATACAGAAAATTAAATGATTATAGATATGACTTTCCTATCTGTTAATCCATTTTGGTGTCTATTTGTAGTTATTAACATATAAACCCATAGTTTTCTTAAATTACCCATAGAATTGTCTGACTACTTATTCTTTGATATATAATTGCTAACATATCAGTAATAATGAAGTGTAAAAAAATAATAATAAGGAAAAATAATATGTACAGTAAATAAAATAACATTATTAATTCTCAATAACAGACTTGCCAGTTGCAAAAATATTTACAAATGCTTCTAGCCCCCCAGTGGCACAGCGGTATGTCTACGGACTTACAACACTAGAAACCGGGTTTCGATACCCGTGGTGGGCAGAGCACAGATAGCCCATTGTGTAGCTTTGTGCTTAACTTCAAACAAACAAACAAATGCTTCTAATTATATTCAGAGGTTGCCTCCTTTTCACTGTTTACTAAAGTATCCATTACTTTAAACTGAAAACAATCACAGCCTATGTAGTTTGCACTACAAGAATGCTGTGTTGTTGTCTAGATTGAAACTTTTTCTGGCTTATGTGTGAATATTGTCCAGCATAGAAAAGTTCTCTCACTCTCAGAGTTACTATGGGACAAATAGAATAAGGCATCCATAACTCTGTATAAACATAACAAGCACTATCTGTGCTCAGCAATAAACTGAATGGATAGTACTTCTGCTTTTGTGACTGCTTTAGTCAATTTGGTGTTAGAACTAGGTCTTGCTAAACTAAATTTCAGTTGAGGCTGCTGGCTTTTAAGTTCTGTTGAAGTAGTGTTGTTTTTATATGTTTGTTCATATCATATATGCCATATGCTGTGACTTTAATGTCATGATTGCATATTTTACATCTAGAATAGGTTTCTCTTATACTGGACTTGGCAGTCACCCTGCAAAGCTTGTTTTTCCATGAATTTTTATACTTTCCAGGAATTTTGCCAACTTGTAGGGATTTGCCACTTTGAAAGAAGGAATTTTTGACATTAATGCAATTGCCCATGCACAATGATATATCAATGTATCATTGGAAGGAATTGGAAAGGAGTGTAAATTATGATGATGATATAATAATACTTTATTTCACACACACAAAAGACAAAGGCATGACATTAAATACTAGTCAAAATTAATACAACTGTAGGCCTTGTAAACTGATTAAAAAAATACTCACTATGACCATCTTTTAGTGCTTGGGAATATGGAGTTTCTGCTGTTTTATGCATTTATGTTATGTTTTTAGGTTGTATACTGTATAATTCTTATAGTCCTTATTAAAATGGCTAATCTTTAGTGTAGTAAGTGATTGTAAAATATTTGGTTGAGGATGATTAATATAACAATACATGTTTTTTTGCAAGTTATTGTAAATCCTTGAATGTTTTTTAGAAAGTTTGATTATAAGAATAACAGACTTTGGTATCTGGATCCTGGATTTTAATGTAATGGTGTCAAGTCAAGGAAATTGTAAACAGTACCTTTATCCATTATACATTTTTGTGGGTTTTAGTCTATTAAAAACTATATGATTACTTGTAATTTCATTTTTGTTATTTCTGCATAAGTATACAACTGAAAACTATTTATGAAATTATAGTAACAAAATCAAGCAAAAATTTAAAATTTATTATTTTGACAATCTATTTAGTGCTGCTAGTATGATCTTATTTTTAGAGTTTTTGATTTCTTTGTGTACATAAAGAAACGTATAAAGAGATGATAGAAAAATATGTCAAAGGGAAAGGTCTAGAATCTGCAATATACAAAACAATGCCACTGATGTCAAGCAAGAACAAAAGTGAAAATGGTTGGGTGTGTACAGTCAAGGTTGCTGATCAAAGTTTTCGGTCTTACCCAAATGAAAAACCCACAAAAGCAGAAGCAGAAGAGGAAGCTGCTAAAGCAGCTGTAGAAGGTCTAGGCATTGGTCAAGGTATGGAAGTTTGTTTCCTGTATTTCCAAAGCTTAAAAAATTTGGAATGTCAGTTTCAATTGTTGTTGTTTTTTAATGTTTGTTTTGCTGATTTTTGATATTGTTTTACTATCAACATTTTTTGTATGAGATGATTATAAAGAAAACCCCATATTTAAAAAGATTGTATGATAAAAATTACTTGTCCTAGGAGAACAAAATTTCACCAAAAGTAACACATTGAGAATCATAATTATTATTATTATTAAGGAAATTCTGAATTTATTACATGCTGGTTCTAAACCATATTGTACCACTTATCTTAAGATCTTTTCTCACAAATTAGAATTGTTCTTGTTTCTGTTTTTTCTCTTTCTGAATGAAATGAGACTGATTATTTTAATAAAATGCATGCCATTGTGCAGGATCAGTTAAAACTGTCCAGGTCAAATGATGTATGAAATAACTTCATGAAGCTATAGGCTTGATATGCTGATATACAATGATGGAAAGTGTACTGAATGTATTTTGTAACAATTTTTTAAATGTGCTGAAATAAGTTTTCCATGGAGCACTATTGTTGCTGCAGTTTTTATTGTTAATGAAACTTTTTGCAAAGGTTTTAATACTAGAAGAGATTTTTTTTGTTGTTGTTGTTTTAAGGATAGTTTTCTACACATTGTTAATGATACTGTTTTGCATTTTTGTAATAGGAGTTGCTATCTTCTGTGGGCTTGCTTAAAGGGAATTTCATGTAGTTTGAAATTACTTCTACTGATACATCTAGTGAAGTAAATTTAAAACTATATACACACACACACACACACACACACACACTACTTTAATTATATGTACAAAATGTTTTTGTGATAATGTTTTTATACATATAGAATATGCCCATTAATATTTTCATTAGTCATATTGTTATGTGTGGCAAATATTTTCAAAGTCATCTTAGCATAAACATATCACATTGTAACATATACATACAAAATAAAATAAGGATTAATGATGAATTGCAAGCACACAAGTATGTTACATGTAATTATGTTAGACGAGTTGATATCTGTGTTTTTTTACTAGAACAATAACCATCTAGCTTCACATATTGCTCTTATAGTGGAAAAAAAGAATAGCAACTACTTGCCTGTTACTTCAAAATTAAGTTTGAGGCCTACTTTTGATTGTTGGATATGTATTATCTGAAATACTTGAATGTTTATAAGTGTTTATGGTTTTTGTATTGATAATTTCTGTGAATTATAGGATAAAATGACTTGTGTTTTTGTATGTTTTATGAGTATTGATTTATTCCATTTTCTGTATTGTTCATTTCATTAACCCATTAACTGCGGATGATGGATATTTCTGTCAATGAAGTTCTATGGCTCAGCTGCGAATGATGGAAATATCCGTCAGTCGCATGTATATAACTATAACTCTATGCGAATGACGAAAGTTACCATTTTATTGTGGTTGATGGCAACTCAGTTTTATCTGCGAGTCAGAAAATGGCAACTGAGCTGCTCCTGCCGCAGTTAATGGGTTAATATTAATGACTATAATGTGCAAAATAATTTAGTATATATATATATATATATATATATATATATATATATATATATATAT